AGGCATCTCAATTTAAGCCAAGAACTCCATGGAAAATGATGAAACTTGATCTCTAATTCATTGTCACTCTGCCCTAGATACTGCAGCCCATGTCTCTCTCCCTGTATATCTAGTCACCACAGTATCTAGGAACTGGGTGTTCTTGGGCAAAGCCCCATTTAAGAGGTGATTTCAGCCAACCTTAAATTTGCCCTGCAGTGGTATTAAGGCACTTCGGGCATTTATAGACATGCCTGCACACTTTAATTAGAGCAGCTCCAAGAGCTGCTCTAATTAAAGTTCCCAGGGTGTCACATGTATCAGCATGTGGGGTGGGGGCATGTTAACTAAAGGGGTGAGGGTGGGGGCATTTTAACTAAAGCTTGTTGAGTGAGCTTTAGTTAAAGTGCCCCGTTGCCATTTTTCAGCATGGGGATGCTGATACACGTGACACTGGAGTCTGCTGGAGCACAGTAATTACCACACTCCAGCAGACTTGATTAATCGAGTCTGCTCTGACACGCTTTAATTACCTTGCTGCACATGTATAGGCTCCCAAACCCTACCCTAACCCCTAGCAGTGGTGCTTTTTGATCAGTATTAGATGTGTGTTGTTTTCCACCCTCTGGGATATCTTGGTTCCTTACTGTAAGCAGCATCCTTCCTGGGCCTGCTCCCTCTCCTGCACAAGTAGGTAGCAATTTAATTTCCCTACCAGCCCCAACACAAAACTATGCTGATTCTTCAGTGTTTACTGTTTAGGTGTACAAGGACCAATTTATACCCCCAATGATGGGGTTAGGTGTCCTGTCAAGGTGCCTCTCATTTGTAAAGAGTTTGTGGACCTTTTCAAGATTAAAGTTCTCTTGCTGATGATGTAAGTCTGGAGTGCCCTAAAATGTCCAGGTGTAAAGGAAGAAACTGAAGACCTCATTGCTTCTGTTGGTTGTATGAGATCTAATGCTTTGCTTCTGTTTAAGATCATGGCAGTGGTGTAAGCTACAGTCAGGAATTGTCAATTGATGCTTACCTGCTGTGAAGGAGAAGGATCGGGTACTTTATGAGATAATGATAATGATGGAGTCACTTTCCTTCAAGTCCGTAGCACTTATAAGGAAGATAGTCTCTTCCTTATATCCAGGATCAGGACCCCCCCAAAAATCAGGAGAGAATTCAAATCTGGATCTGAGCATTGCATTGCAAGGAACTCTGACAAACCTCTCACTGTGAATGCTTTGAAATGTGGAGAAGTCTGTATCTAGACTCAGAGCTCTGCTTTAGGCCTTTAACTCTTCTCCCTCTTCAATAAACGGTGTCATAGACCTTCCCAGGAAAACAGCAGATTGTAAGTATAATACAAAACACTTAACATGAATTGAGACGTTTGTGATATAAATAGGCAACCTTTCCCTAATGATTGAGTCCGGAAAGTCATGTGCGGTGATGGGTCCAGGTAAGGTTAGTTTGTTCAGGAATTTAGGAACCAGTCAGAACCAAAGGTCTGTCTTTGTCCATGAGCCTTAATAAAGGATACCAGTTTCCATCACTACCTCCAAGACATCTTTATTATGAGCGGCATGACACCATTAAATGTCTCTTTTATCTTAACAGGTTTTATCCCACCTCCCTTGATCTTTGGGGCTGGAATTGACTCAACATGTCTGTTCTGGAGCACGTTTTGTGGCGAGCAAGGAGCTTGTGCACTGTATGACAACGTTGTCTATAGATACCTGTATGTTAGCATTGCGATAGCGCTGAAATCTTTCGCGTTCATCTTATATACAACCACCTGGCAGTGCTTGAGGAAAAACTATAAGCGGTACATCAAGAACCACGAAGGTGGGCTTAGCACTAGTGAGTTCTTTGCCTCTACTCTCACCCTAGACAATCTGGGGCGGGACTCTGTGCCCCCTAACCAGTCACATAGGACAAAATTTATCTATAATCTTGAAG